GGGCGCACTGCAGCGATCTGTGGCGTGTGAACCGCATCCCAGCCTCCTTCCCGCCTCACCCGCGCCGCTTCCTTCCCATTCATTCGTGTGGATTTACTGGAAGCCCGCTCTGGGTGCCGAGCAGATCCCGGACTGCATCCCTGGCAGCGAACACGGAGGGCTCCGGGGGATGGTCCCAGTGTCCACCTCGCGGTGAGGAGTGTGGTGCCTTGTGTACGCGGTTGCGTAAAAAGGGAATAACTTTGATCCTAAGGATTAGCAGTTTAACCCGGTGAGTCGGTGGTCAGAGGTCGATGGTTCGAACCCACCAGCTGCTTTGTGCTTCCAGCTTGGAAACCGTAGAGGCAGTTCTAGTCCGTCCTACAGGTTCGCTGAGAGCTGGACGCGGGTGGACAACAACGGGTATACAGTTCAGACAAGTCCTTTAACTGCCAAGTGATTCATCAGCTTTTCTGAGAAACGAACATGAGGCCGTTGTGAGGAAATGGCCCTGGTTGTTGGTCTTCTGGGCAGTGGAGCCAGTTAAGAGAAATGCAGCACGCCAACAAAAAACCAAACCCTCTATCAAGTTATTCCAGCATCTTTCTCCCAGAGAGCAGCCGGTGGTTTTGAACTCCGGACCTTGCAGTTAGCCTTTCCACGTGTTGTGCCTCTGCTTAAGGCTTTGCCCACCAGGAAAGAGGAAAAACATGCTGGAGTGGCAGATCCAAGTACACAGTTATTTTTTTTCTTCAGGTTTAGGATGGGGTAGGAAATAGCTACTGTCCCCACATGTATCTATTGCAGAGATCTGTTGATGACTGTAAATGCGCCTAAAATTAAGGAATGAAATTGTGTGCGGTGTGCAGATACAGAAATTCAGCAAACTTAACTAGGTGCAGAGATTTTTACCTTTTATTATAAATAAGTACTCGCTGGAGTGGCTTAGTGAAGACAACCTGTGAGTTAATGAAACAATTTAAATCAGTAAAAAGGAAATATAAGCCAAGGGCTTAAATAGAAAATGTTTAGAAAATGATGATGGGAACACATGTACAAATATGTTTGATACAATTGATGTATGGAATGTTATAAGAGCTGTAAGAGCCCCCAATAAAATGATTTAAAAATCTATGTACAGACAATAAAAATACATAAATAAGAAATATAAGATATAGTATTTTAGCCTTATCAATTTAACTGTAGTAGGTAAGTGGCCTTGCTCCTGGGCATACCTAGAGTCACTTCAACATAAGTTTTTGGCAAATTATTTAACTTCTCTGCTTCATTCAGTTCCTTCATCTCTAAACTAGGGTTATAAGTAAGCACCTAACCCCCCACACACACCTATAATGACTTTTGTATTACATTTATTACAGTGCCTAGCACATAGTAAATGTTCAATACCTATTAGCTGTTTTTGTAATTGTGAACTTTTGCTCGATGTTTTCCTAAATGGGGGAAAGAGAACTGATTTTTTTTTAATCCATTGCTGTCCAGTCAATTCTGATTCCAATGTACGACACACAGGACAGAGGACAGAGTAGAAGTGCCCCGTAGGGTTTCTAAGACTATACATGTTCGCTGACACTGACTGCCCAGTCTTTCTCCTGTTGTAGCTAGCTGGTTAGCTAGTGGGTTTGAACCACACATCTTTCCATTAGCAGCCAAGCTGTTCACCACTATGTCACCAGGGCTCCTGGAAATAATTACAATTCACTTTTCTAAACTCAAAGGATGGCTTCCAGACCATTTATGATACCATAGACCTGTATTTAGAGAAAATTGGGGTTCAATTTGGCCAGTGGGCATGTTGGTATTCTACATAGGCAGTGCACTGTGGAAAAGAGTCCCATGGAATCTAGACCTTGTTTGAATTGTTTACTTTCCAGGTTGTGACTAGTACTAGCAGATTAAAGGATCAGGCCCGTAGCAAGAAAAGTTCCAAGTTGTTTCACCATGTTAGACTTCGATAAGATAATGGTGCAGAAAATAAAGTGCCAAAGAGATCATGGGGTGGGGGTGGGAGGGTAGTTTGAGTGACCTTACCCAAGTCACTTATTCCAAATTCTAGCTTTTCAGAATTTAGTTTACCATTTGAGACACCTTCTTTGGTAACTTATATTGTAAAAGAAGCAAAAGGTATATTAGCAGCTCAGACCTGATTTCAGATTTTGTGTGATTAGGTGGTAAGAGTACTATTAACAGTCTACCTTTTCAAAAACACACACACACACACACACACACACATTTTCATTAAAACACACACGCATGCACACAAACACAAAGTAAAACCCAAAAATGAGCTTCAAAGCTTTTAGAGATTAAGCAATATTATTGGGTCAATTTTTAAAGTATTCAGACTATAACTGTAAAAATCTTTAACTCTGTGTTAATGTGAATTAAAAAACCAAGGCAGGACGGGAGATTGGGGTAATTTTTGAGATGTAAAGAAGGCCTGCTTTGATATATGTAACATGCGGGTGAGCCCCTTTCTGCTATCCAGAGGTCTGCTCTGAGAATTTGAGTGATTTCAAAATCATTGAGCTCTTTTTCCAATAATTTCATAGTGCTGTATGTTTAATACGTATTCAAGTATACTCACTGCTGCCAAGTCGATTTCAACTCATAGGATAGAACTGCCTCTGTGGGTTTCCGAGACTAACTTTTTACAGGAATAGAAAGCCTCGTCTTTCCCCTGCCGAGTGGCTGATGTCTTTGAACTGCTTACCTTGGTGGTTACCAGCCCAACACATAACCCACTACACTACCAAGGTTCCTCTGAATGTTCTATCCCTTTCTCACTAATGATCAGTTAATTCATCAGTAGTAAATTTGATAGTCTTTTGATTCTTAAGGAACCCTGGTTGCATGGTGGTTATGAGTTGGGTTGCTAACTGCAAGGACAGTAGTTTGAATCCACCAACTGCTCCTTGAGAGAAAGATGAGGTTTTCTTCTCCTGTAAACCAGTTAGTCTTGAAAACTGGCAGGGGTACTTCTGTCCTGTCCTGTAGGGCTACTATGAGTTGCAAGCATGTCAGTGAGTTTGCTTTTGGACTTTTTGATTTTTAAGAAAATGCTTGGCAACTACAAATAAGATAGCAACAATGGTTTTGTTTCTTCAATAGTATTGTGTGCATGTTCCTATGTGTATCTCCTCAATCCCTTTGTGTATCCAGTTAGAACTGATTTTAGATTATGTATTGATGGATGCCTGCCAGTGGCTGAGCTAACTGACACAAGAGGATACAGCAAAACTATTCAAATCAGCAAGGTAGCAAGTGGTTTGTCTGTTAGGTGCCATCCGTCTCAGGGACCTCAGGTGAACTATCACATGCTGCTGCTGCTATGTGCCTTCAACCTAGTTCTGACACAGAGGGGTCATACCCTCAACAGAAGGAAACACCAACCCGCCTCGCACTGGCCTCCCACTGGTTCTTAGGTGGGAGCATGTTCTTGCAGTCACTGTGTCAGTCCATCTTGGTAAGGGTTTTCCTCTTTTTCCCTGACCCTCTTCCAAGCGTGAAGTCCTTCTCCAGGGACTGGTCTCTCCTGAGAACACGTCCAAAGTGCAGGAGGCACGTCTCACCGTCGTTGCCTCTAAGGAGCATTCTGGCTGTATTTCTTCCAAGACAAGATTTCTTTGTTCTTCGGCAGCCCATGGCACTTTCTTTATTTTTCACTAACATCATAATTCAAAAGCATCACTTGTAGCTTTTAAATTTGAAGAAAAATGTTTCATTTTCTCTACTCTGACCAGGGGCAGAGGCCTTCTAATAGTTAATATCCAGAGAGAAGATAAGCTTTCATTAATTTAATGAATTGATAAGTTGTTTTTCCTTTACATATCACATGCTATTAAAATTTTTCTTTTTTTTGAGTCATCACAGGGCTCTTTGGTTGCTATCTCACCCCTATTAGATAGCTGGTGATGAAATCAGCAGTGGCATCTGGTGCCACTCGCATTTCTGGGGGCTTTTCTTCCATACTTAAATCTTGAACCAAATTCTTAAGTAAAGTTGGAGCAGGACCCCCCAAGCAAACATGTAAGAGGATGGTTAATTGCAACAGCTATTTTTATAACAGTAATCAAATAGAGCGATCCAATTGTACGTTAGTAGAAAAATGGATAAACTATGGTTCATTCATGTAATGGACTATTGTACCCTAGTGAAAATGAATGAATTTGGTGTATATTTAGCAACATAGATACATCTCAAGTACATAATGTTGATTGAAAAAACAATGTGCAAAGAGACTATTATGTATATGTGTAACCAGTTATTTACAATACTTAAGTAATGCATTCACAAACTTAGTATAGATGTAAATAATGAAAGTACATAAAAGTATAAGAACATACAGTAGAATGAGATGCAGTCATTTGAGAAATAGTGAATGAGTCTGGAGAGGGAGCATTTGGGTAGGGCAGCTTCTATTTTTTCTCTTTTTCCATCATAAAGAGCTGAAGCACATATGAAAATATGTTAATATCTATTGAAACCTGGTGAGAAGTATACATGGTGTAATACCCACAGAAGAGGGTTTCAAAATGTTTATGGAAAAATTGAAGCAAAGGAGAATGGGATGTTTTCATGACCTTTTTGAAGCCCTGTCTTATAAATATATTTACAGTGTTATGTGTGTTAACGGAGCCCTGCTGGCATAGTGGGCTGTGCATTGCCTGCTAACGGCAAGGTCAGCCGTCCCATCAGTCCCTGGGAGAAAGATGGGCAATCGGCTGCTGTGAAGATTCACAGGGGCAGCTCACTCTGTCCATGAGGCCTGTCTCTATACGGCAAGAGGGACTCGATAGCAGTGAGAAGTTTTTGGCTTTGTTTTTGATGTGCGGTAAAGATAGTTGGTGAGACTAGCACTTTATAGTTTGTATTTATTACTTTATTGTCTTCCAATATGCTTTCTGTACTTTTGCATTTTCACTTTCTAGCCCCCAAATAGTGTTGTCTGGCGTAAGGACTCGACTCTCCCTTCAGTCCAGCCTCCCTTTATAACAGCCTCTGAAGGAGAGGAGACAGGAAACAAACCAGTAACGTAGTCAGCTTTGTTTTGTTGTTGGTGCACTCCAGGGAAAATGCCTTCCGTAGGCCAGGAGGAGTAATATGCCTTCAAAAAAGACTGCAGGATAATTTAAATTCTGGTAATATTACTGGGAAACGCAGTGATCTTGGGGTGATCTTGACTTCTCAGAGCA